CACATTAGGGTTTAGAAACATCCCCCTAACCTTCCCTAAACTTTTCTCAAAAGAATCTCAAAGAAAACTTAAGTTTTTCTCAAACCCTAGAAATCTTCTCATCCAAAAATCTTGAGAATGAGAGGGAAAAACCTAGTTCTATTGCATACCTTTCACTTCCCTTAGTCTCCTCTACGTTTTTTCCCCAAGGTTGGCCGCCGGAATCCACCGCCGAAGCCGCTCGATCTCCCTTGCCCGTTGCCCCTACCGTCCGCTCCCTCTCGGCTTCTTTCGCTCAAACCATGCGAATGGGGGAGAATGAGGGCTGGGTTGGCTCATAATAGGAAGATGGGGGAAAGCCAAAAGACATACATGCCCTTACTTAAACAACCCATGCTTGAACAAACCTTAAGGGTAGAATTGGCATTATGAGATTTCTCTTAATTTTAATTCCTAAATTAAGCAAAATTAAATATAAGTTCTTTACATCAAATTTCTTAGAATTTTGCGTAGAATTTTTCAAAATTATTTCCATCGAAATCCGACATCCTCGAATTTTCCACTTAAAACTCGTCGCGACGCTTTGAAAAGCGTGCGAGGTCTAAAACGACGTTTTGCGGGTTTTACAGATTTCAGCATGCCTTTGCCCTAGGTTTTGGAAGAGAAGCTCACTAGCAGCAGCAAGAATGGATTTTTGCTCTCCAATTGAAGAAAACAAGGTGATAGTAGCAAGAGAGAACTCCCTTCAATCCAAAGAAGGGGGGGGGGGACAGCAGTTGGCCGGTCTTCCTTTTGGCTGGGACGCATGCAAGAGGCCTTGGTCGGCCTCTTCCTTCCGCCTGATGTGAGACGGACAGACAGAAACGGGAGAGCTGAACGGCTCTCCCTCTCCTTCCCGTGCTCTGTCTATGACGGAACAAACGGGGGAGCCGAATGCTCCCCCTCTCCCGATCTCTCCCTCTCTTTCTCTCGCTCGAGACGGGACCGAACAAAAACGGGGGAGCCGAATGCTCCCCCTCTCTCCTTTGCGTGCTCTTGGAGAGCACGAGCAGCAGCAAGGCACCGCCCAAATGGGCCAATCGGAGCCCACACGCGTGAAACGAGGGATTTTAGGGAAGATTCTATAAGAAATCTAAGCCCTTGATTTAGATTTCAGATTTAGGTATTTGATTTAGCCTAAATCAAACAAATGAGGCTGGAATTGAGCCCAAATTGGACTCGACTCAAACCGATTTGGGTCGGTTTGGGTCCGAGTGGGTCTGATCAAGTTCATTTTGTGAAATTAAGCTTGAATCGGTGCCGAATTGCGTCGAATTGGGCTCGACGACACTCGACGGAGTTCGATTGGTTTTGATTTGATTTTAATTAAATTAAATTGGGTTTAATTTAATCAAATTGAGGCTTAATTCGGATTAATTTCACCTCGACGATGATCAATTGAGTTGATCGAGCGCAATCGAGCTTTGTCGGGTTCGATCGGGGTCGAGTCGATGCGAAAATATTCGTCAACAGTTTGAAAGTAAATGCTATTGAAACACAAGATTCAAAATAAATAGTCACGGTTTTCCAAAAGATCTCAAAATTTTCATGCTAAAGAAGGTTTAAAACACATAATAGTTAATTTAGAATCTTAAAAATGGGAGAACCAATTTCAAGAATAATACTTTTGATGCAGTTTTAAACATTAATTATTTATGGCTTTTAGGCGGTCCTGCTTTGCACAAAGTTCTTAGAGTTTTGATAGGAAATACTTGTGTTCGCAAGTAGGGTAATACTTGAGTTCGCAAGCAAACATAACCAAAATCAGTACAAAATCAAGAGAAAACTGCTGTTTACAGCAGGAAAACAGCAAATCTCAGCAGTTTTAATGGAGAAAACTCAAGGAAAATAGAGAAGAACAATGTCTTTCACTAGTAGATTTAAGAACGCAAACAAAGATACAATTTCCTTCAATCCGAGAGGAAGGAATGACTCTCCAAATCTCTAGCCGTTGCCTAGAGCCCAAGAACACAAACCCTAGATCTCAAAAATATTCAAATTCAAGATGAGAGCCAAAACTAACATTATTCCCTAATTAAAGCAAAAGGACTTGCAAAATACCTAATCAGCCCCTAATTCAAATATTTTTCCCTCCCACACATGAAATCAGCCCATAGTGGGCCCCACAAACTTCCCGCCCCCCCTCATGTTGGTTCTGCCTCCTCTGGTAGACCCAGACCGGTCCGGTCTGGACCGGTCCAGCCGGCCCCTCCTGGGCCGGCGTAACAAGTTTTTATTCCACATAGTTTTGAAAAAACAATGGCATAACTTCTAATATCTAATTAATAGTAAAGCAGTTTATATAAGTATAATTGTGTACCATTTTTCTGCTACTTCTATAATATGCAGAAGCTATGTTTCAGTAATGTTGGGCACATGCAAGGGCTATTAAGAAATGCATAAATGGAATTAAAATCAAACTTTGAAATAATATTTGTACTCCTGATCAAATAGTTCAAGACCGGTGAAATAGATCAAAAGGGAAGAAAGCTCCTTACCTTTACAGTTCACAAGAAACAAGTGAAGCCAAAGCAACACTTGAAAGGTTGAAAGATCGTTACATTCGTTGTGAGCTCCTGTTGGAATGAAACTTTCAAAACTCTACTTCTCATGAAGTAGTCGAAGTCGACACAGGGTTAAAAGGGAAGAAAAATTGTTACCTTCGCTACAAAGAACTCGAACTGAAACGAAGAAGCGAAGTTGAAGCAGGCGAAGCCGAATCAGTTTATACGAAGTGAGAGCTCGTTACCTTCATTGAGAGCTGCCGAAAGAGGCGAAGGATGTTCTTGAAAGCATTCCAAAATCTAAAACGAGGCAGCCGCAAATCTAACATGCGCTACTTGACCGAATAAAAAAAAAAAACAATAACAACAATTGAAATGGCCTCGAGGTGTATGCCTCAATGAAACAAGAAACGTAAGCCTCGCCTGAACCAGTGATGCTTAAGCCTCGAGCCTCAAATGCCTTTTTAAACCAAGCTTGATAAGACTAGAGAGGGAGTTGAAGGAAAACATGAATTATGGAGGTCAACCTTAGAGTTTAAAGGTTTTCATTTGAGTATATCTAAAACTGAATATATAGAATGTAATTTTAGTAATAGTAGATCTATTGGTGGGATTGTAACATTGGGTGATCAAGTCATAAAAAATAGTGCAAATTTCAGATATCTCAGGTCTATTGTTCAGAGCGATGATGAAATAGATGTGGATAGTATTAATAGAGTTCAAGTTGAATGGTTGAAGTGGAGGAATGATTGGGCCTATTGTGTGATAGAAAAGTACCTCTTAAACTTAAGCGAACATTTTATAAGATGGTTGTGAGACTTGCATTAATGTGCAAATTGTTGACCATTAAAATAGAAGAATAAAATTAAGTTAAGTGTTGCAGTGATGAGGATGCTCAGGTGGATGAGTGGCTTCACACTTAGATTTAGAATGCGAAATGAGTATATATGTGAAAAGGTTGGAGTAATTCCAGTGGCTCATAAGAATAAGATTAGAGAGAGCCGCCTTAGATGGATTGGTCACATAAAGTATCGGCCTTCCAAAGACAGTTAGGAGAGTAGATGTATTGGATTTGGCCTATATTAAGAAATGTAGAGCTAGGCCTAAAAGGACTGGGTTAGAAAGTATTAGAAATGACATTTTTTTTATTAGATTTAAATGAGAATTTGACTCTTAATATGACACAGTGGAGAAAATCCTTCATGTAGCCAACACCATGTAGTGGGATAAATGCTTGTTTGTTTTTTGTTTTTAGTAGATATTATTTCCTTTGAAATTACAATCAGTAGGAAACTAAATTAAGGTTCTAAATCAAAGTTGTGAGTTAGAATCTTCTCTGGATATTATATGTCTCTTGTTGTTGTGAATTGTTCTTTAACCGAATTTCCTTTTGAATGCATGGTGAATTCAGTTTAAAAATCATGGATCTAATCTCTTGTTCACAGTTGGAGTTGGTTCTTGCTAGATCTGAAAATTTACTCGAACATATTTAATGACTTTTTCATGATCCAAACTGGTGGATTTGAGTACTTGATAACATGTCACATACAAGTTTTGTTCGGTATCCATCCTGTTCTGTCACTAGTGATTTCTGGTACTATGCCTACCCTGCCAATAATGACAGCAACAATGCCAAGATATATATATATATATATATATACTGTAGTCTGTAGTTTTTTTTTTTTATATCCACAATTTTTAATCTGCATGATGTTCTAAGGAATGTATAAGAATTCTGAACTCAGATTTTTTTGTAACTCATTAATGCTTGAATTTTCACTTAGTTCAGTTAATTCATTTAGATAAGTTATTTTACACTTATAGCTCTTTTTGTATGAACGAGAAGGGATGCAATGAAATTGAAATTCGATACTTTGTGGCTTGATTTTAATCGTGCAAACAAATTAATAGTTGAACTCCTTTTTTATCCTTCGATTCTTTTACCTTTCATGCAAAGTAATTGTAAGTTACCTGAAATAAAAGTTCATATGTGGATTCTCATTCCATTTCTTCCATTTGACAGCAGCTGTGCAATGGATTTGATTACTTGCTACATTTTTGTATGTGTAGATGAAAGATTCTTCATCAATAAGAAAGGATTGCCGTCCCCTGCTGTTGCATATGGACCACCGTCTTCTGATCCAGAAAATAAAGATATTATCAGTCTACCTTCAGATAAGATTCCTGTTTGCAGTGAGCCGGATTATCAGTTTCCTGTTACTTCTACATCATGCATATCTGAGCATATTGCTGCTGATTCTGCTTCGAATGGCCCTAGTTTATCGCCAAGTTCTTCCTTGTGTTCATTGTCCTCTGAAAGGTCAACCCTAAATCCAAATGCCAAGGTACTTTAGTGATAAGATATTTTACACTTTTCAGCTTTAAGTATACTGTTCATCTAGTGCTTCCCATTTTACTTTCTTATTCATATTTTTTTCCTTTTTGTCTTATGGGATATTTCTTGTTTCCTTTTGATGATCCAGGAGTTCAAACTCAATCCAAATGCCAAAAGCTTCACCCCTTCTTCATTTCGACCTTCTGCACCAATGTCTGAAAGTTCCCTTTATTACACTAATGCTGTGCCAACAGTCCCACCTATGCAAGGCATGCCTATGGGTGTTGGGGTGAGGTTTCAGAATTCAACGATGGCATTTTTAATTTATTAAACTATATTAAATTCTGTATCATGTTCAGATAGAATGATTGGATGTGTGATTAGAGTTTTGGGAAGCTTTTTGGTGGATCAAGTAAGTTGATTTTTAGCATTCAAAATGTAGGGTAGATGCAAGGTTTCTTTGATGAAGATCCCTGGTTATGGGGAATTTGGGGCCATAGAATTTTAAATCAGAGTTTTTTTGCCTCCTTGATTGAAATTTAAGAGTATGTACTCCTCAGAAGCATATAAAGTGAGCATTCAAATGAACATTAAAAATCCTCATGTTGTGTTCTCTAATTTTTGTTTATTTTAGTCATGGCTATGATTTTGGTGCCTATGAAGATGGTATATGTCCTTTGTATTTTGATCACCTTGATAAAATTTGGTTCAATATTTCAAGTGATCTCACTTCAGCCAACTTTTAAGTATAGTATTCCGATCCCAGCGTACCTTTTCTTTGTATTAGCTGCAATCTTATTCCTTGTCTCTTGTTTGACTGCCTTCAATTGCTGATTGACTCAGATGTATGGTAGATTGCCCAGCCAGTTCGGAATTACATTTTTATATATTTTGCAGTTTTTCCTCAAACTCCATAAACCTATCTGCTATCTATGATCTGCTTAGGTGTTCATGTGCTTTGCATATTGCCTATCATGGCTTTTTCTTACAAAATATGCGATTCAAGTGATTTGTTGTTATCTCCTATAGGAGGAATTAGAAAGAAATGGATTGAAGCTTTGGCACAGAAGGAAAGATTAATTCTTACTGTTTTAATGATTCGTTGAATAAGACTTACAAATTTAAGCCAGATTTTGGATGATTCTAAATACTTTGCATATTGCCTAAATTTTTGTGCTTTGTTTTATAAATAAACCTTGAGGCATGAAATTTTCAATGAATGAATAGCAAACATTTCTCTCAATGTTTTTATGTTTTGTTGGATGTGGATTCTTCAAACATTTTGCAAGTCTTGTCGACAATATTTGGAAGACTCTTCTCCTTGTTATGATGTGATGCACGGGTCTTCTAATTGGTAATTTCTATATTTGTTTTGTCATCTATTTTTTTTTTTATTAGTTTGTGTGCATGATTGAGATCTTGTTATATTCATTATATACCTTTTTTGGTGTGAATATTAATCTCTGTGAACTTTTATATTTTTTCACATTTTTTGAAGAATTTCATATCTTAAGCGATTTCTATATTTTCCTTTGAAATGAATTAAAGTATACTTTCTAATTTTTCATAAAAGTGGCTATATTTTACCTAAAGTGAAAGTTGGGAAAATTCAAATTATTATATTTTATGTATTTCTCTTTGTGCAGCCTAAGTTTGGATTAGTGAAACTTAGATTCTAAGACATCTTGGATTAGTGAAACTTAGATTCTAAGACATCTTTGACGACATCCCTTCTAGGGATTCTCTTTTTTCTAAGTTCTCTCTTGCTTTTTCATCTCTTCCGCTCACCTCCCTCCCTTTGAGTTATTCTATTGTCTATTATCTCTTCTATCCTTTTGTTTTCATTTAGCTACACTGATTTCCCTTCGACATCAGATTTGTCAAACTATTTTTGATATTTCAGTTTATCAATTTTGGTATCAGAGACAGACCTGAGAACATCCACTAACTACTCCTGCAAATATTGCAATTCCACATCGTGCAACTGCTTGCTTCGCTCTTTGTATCATGCCCCTTCCTCATCTTCGTGCTTGCCTATGCCTCCCTCCAATAGATAGTCTCCCATCACATCACACTCCCACACTTGGCATGCATACACAACCACCACCATGACCTGATCTCCTCATTGTTTTTCCTAATACATGATCCCACTTGCATCTTAATGCTCTGCTGCTATCAACTTCCTTGCTCCTTTGCTTGCTCATGCGACCAACAACCATCACAAAGATCCTCCCTCTTTTTAATCTTACATTGCTTTGAAAAAAAGTGGCAAATAGTTTACTTTCTTGTTTCTTTCCCTAGCTAAAATCATTAACCCAATTCTATCACATCATCTCAAGCACATCTTTGCCATCGGCCTTACTGGCCTCAAAATCTTCAGAGGTTTTGTCATCTGTCATTTCTTTCATATTCAATAAGATCCATCAACATGTATGCCTTTCTTCACATTGCATCTTCTCATTCTCTTGCGCTCTTGTGCTTAACTGTACGCATTGCCTGCTTTCCCACAACTCTCGCATTGGTTACACATTTTCTGCACTTGTAATCACTCAAACACATACTTTAATGCTCACTCGGTCCATTCTCGTCATGCTTGCTTGTGCTATAATTTGATCCCAGCTTGCATTTTCAAACTGTACCCCAGTTTGAACCAGATTTGCAAATCCAATCAAACCAAAATGAGAAAAAATATGTCAGTTTCATTCAATTAGCTAGCAATTTAAGTCAGATATGAGTCAGTTTAGTTATGTGCATGTAGACATTAAAAGGCTTCCAAATATCTTTCAAGAGTTTTGATGATTTTTTTATTCTCAACGGCAAGGGCCATGGATTAATATTATTGTTGATGTATTAATGTCCTTGTATGTTTAGGCAGTTATTTTGTGTTATTTAGGATTAGTTTGCTATTTTAATATTGTATAGAATAGTTTTGTAATTTTTATTAAGGCATTTTTGTCTTTTAAATAGGGCATAGTGTCTTGTAATTCAATTCAATTTGAGTTGATATGGATGGAATCAAAGTCCATTTAACTCCCTTCTACGGATTCTCTTCCTTCTAGAATTTCTCTTCCATCTTTTCAGTGCTCTTAAGGCATTGGCTTTTCTCCTCAATGTCCTTTTCTATATGTTGGCAGTTTTCCTTCTTCACCTGATTAATCTTGTTTGTTGCATCTCTAATTATCAAAAGAGTTGGTTAGTTATGTTCTTAACATATATTTCCAGGTTTTGATTGGTTTTCTGATGCTGCTATTCTGTTCATAGTGATGAACTGTTTATTTATATTGCTAGAGTTTGGATTTCTCCTCTCACCAATACATTTTATGGTGATACGTTACAGACTATCGCATTGGTTAGATTGTTCCTTCTTTGTTAGTTTTTTTTTTTTCTGAACTCCTTGATTCATATGAACCACCTAAATGGCAGTATTTAGATCTATGGGCGTTTCTGGACTTCGTGTAAATTAATGCCTTAAAATTTTATATATAGTATTCCAATAAGAAAATTACCAATTTTTTATGTTAATGACATTCATGATTGTTTATTAGTTCTCCATTATTGTTAATCATTACTTTCTATTTAGAGGCAAATGGGCAATAATTATTTGGAGATACTCATATTTATATACAAGGACTGTCATTTATATTGATACAGAAGCAAATATTTCCATGCAAAGGTTGCTGTACTTGGTTTGTATATATTTAGTGATCTTTATTCTGTTATGGTTCATACTTACAAAGCACATATACTCGCTCAGCACACATCCATCACTTGTTTTTGTCGTGTCCAAAATACCTACAAGTAATATAATTTTCTGTAAGAATAGTAGAAATCCAAAACGTCATGTCTAACGCTGCAGTTAAATGTCCAACTATTATTTGTCCTGCTGTCTTTCACTACACTGGCGCACTAGAGGTATCCATACTTTATAGGTATGCGCTTCACGTATCTTCACGTTGAAGGCAAGTCGAACATGAGCAGGTTAGAAGCGGTAGTCATTTGAGTAAACAGTTCACAGCCCAAATTTCCATAATCAAGGTAGGGAAGCTGAGCCTTATGAAGTACTAACACTGAGATCAGGAGATTGATGCAAGATTTCAACTTACTGTCAACGGGCTTGTTTAATTAATCAAAATTCTTTTGGATGAGCATGATTTACTACATGCAGATACAAGTTATGAGTCTCGATTTTTATGGATTTTTATGCTGTGTTGCTCTGAAAGTTTGTTGGTTTTAGTTGATAGAATTATTTTCAGTTTTGCATCCATTTTATTCTAAGCCATCAACAATATTCAACTTTTTGTTGTTGTTTTTTTCTTTATATATATGTCATATGATAGTAAGAAGCAATTTTGTAGATTGGACCACCTTTCGGTGCACACCAAGCTGTCTACAATCCACAGGCCCCTCAATTACAATCTTCCCCATACATTCATGCTAATGGGCCCATGGTATGGAGCTGCTCTATTTATAAGTTTTCCATGTTCTTACTCATCTGCACTGTTTACATTGATTTAATTCTTCAATCAATCTGCATCAAGTTCGCATTTTGTCATTGTGTTTTCAGTATGGCGCGCAGATGATTGTTGGCCAGCCTCAACCCTTTTACTACATGCCTACCTATCCACCTGTAAGTCGAATTAGACTGCCTTTTGATATTCTAGTTGAACATTTTCTATAATTTGAAGCTCAAACTCTGTCAGAAGTAATGTTTATTATTATTAAGTCTATTTGTTTAAACCAAATTTCTACTTGCTGGGAATGATTTTTTTTTTTTTTTTTTTTTTTTTTAAAAAAATTTTTTTTTTTGGGGGAAATTTTTTTTTTTTTTTTTTTTTTTTAATTTACTTGCTGGGAATGATTTATTTTCACTTTGGTAACCATTAAATTTTGTATATGCATTGTAGTAAAACATTCTTGTATTTGTAGGATATTCGGCTGTTGAGAGGTCTGTATACCTTAGTTCCTCCGGATAACATATTTTAATGGTTCTGCAATTTTAAGGGGTTAAATTGGGTCTTTCTCCGAATGTTGGGAAGGTTGATAAAGGTAAAACTTTCCCCTTAAATAAATGCTTGTCTGATGGAGGATACGGTACATGACTTGGCTGTAAGATTATAATAGGAAACATTTGATGATCTTAGTGAAAACCTATCGATCTTGGAAAAACAGTGGGGAATAACCACAAAACTCCGAGGAAAAAACAAGAAAACAATAATTTTGTTGCAATAACCAAAGATAACAGAAGGAAAATACCAAGATACAGTTGATCCTCAATTCAGGAGGAGGATCTATCTCTCCCAAGCCCTAGATGCCGCTAGAGCTCGAGACGCGAAGCACCAAGAACAATAAAATCAGCCACAATTATCCAATGCCATAACCCTAATACAAACTCCTACTTAAAGCAAATACAAAAATAACATTAAAGGAGTAAACAACCCTCAAACAATTAGCCCTAGGTAGTGGACTCCATCCCAAGGGTGGTGGGATTCAGAGCCTGCGGACGAGCAGGCTTGCGCCTGCCATATTGTAGGAGTCGGCCCATAAATTAGGCCGGTTGAACCGGTCCAAGGTGGAATGGTTCAAGCGTATCAATACCCCGCTACCAAAGAACCACCTTATCCTCAAGGTGGAAAGATGAGAATGGATGTTTCACCCTTTTGTAGGGTTTCCATGTAGCGTTATAATCACAAAGGTCCTTCCACTTAATCTACACTTCTTTGACTGCTCCCTCTCCTTGGCGTACCCCTTATAGCTCCATGAGTTCCAACACTACTTACAAATCTTCAGTCAATGTTGCGGGCAACTCTGAACTGGCTGTGTGATCCGCCAAAACTCTCCTCAACTGTGACATATGAAATACTGGGTGGATGGTGGCTGTTGTATGTTGACCTCCATAGCAGGTTAAAAAATAAAAAATAAAATATAATATCCATACCTGTACCATTCAGCAGACCTTACCCGTATCCCTTCTTAAATCTCGTCACAGTCTGCAAATCGGCGCCGAATAGTAGCATCCCACTCCATGCCTCAATCGTCGTTGGATTCGTGTTTATAAAATGTGAGGGAAGTATAGTTCATTCGCTTCTTCCCACTTCACGTAAGCACCAAACTCCTGACCCTACTTCCTAAGTTCACTCGACTCCCTTGCTCTTTCGAATCCCTCCAATCTCCTTCCGCAAACGAGCCCAGTCCACGACCTCTTCTTCTGATTCCATCTCCTCTGTCTGCTTCCCTTCCGACCCAGCATACGACCAAGCCCTCAGGCGGAGGTCCCGTCAAATCCATAGCTTGTTGAACCCGTCGAGCTCTCCGACCTCCTTTCTTCCCTCTCCGACAAAACCCCAACCGACCCACCTGCTCTAGCCAACTCCATCCCTGCCCTTGGTCACCGTTGAACTAGCCACAAGCCTTCCGCATCATTCATCCATAGATTGAGAGAGAGAGGGAGCATTCCTATAGTGTCCAATGTCGGGCATTTACTTCAAGATTTATGTAAGTTTTAATATATATATAGCGTGAGGCGTAAGCCTCATGCCAGTGAGGTGAGGCGGGCCTCAACCAAGTTGAGGCGCAAGTCTCATAAAAAAAACTCGAGGCGTTTTTTAATGGAATTGTGCAAAGGCGGGTCTCAAGGCGAGCCTCATATTGCGCATTTTTAAACCATGTGATTAACAACTACAAGGATTTAAATGAACATAAAGAACTTGAACTTGAATTGAATACGAGCTTGAACTAAATGACATTGCATAGAACTTGAATTTATGCATTGAAAGACAAGGAATTCAGACTGCAAGGGATTTGATTTGAACAAAATGCAAGTGTTTGCAAGAAATCACTAAAAGTGAAGTGCAATCTAATTACAAGCAAAGACATGAATGGATACTACAAATCATATAAGGAGGATGATTAATTGTGGCATTTGCCAACCATGCAAGCAAGCGCACAAGGACTTAAGCCCTATATACATGATATGTTTGTAGGCAAATGAACAATGAAGATATTGACTTGTTCACAAGAAGCAATGACAATTTCATTGCAAATCATCTAGCAACATAACAAAAAGGGTAGTGATGTATACAATAAGTTGCTTGCAAGTGACAACTAAGATATATGTTGAATGCAATAATCTCAATGCGGTCAACCTCTGCTTACAAACCAATTAACACAACCTGCAAGAAAAGAACAACACACTTGTAATACATGTGTGGTCTTATGGAGCGTTGTGGGAGATCAACCATACATACAACACCTGACCTACAAACAGAGAGGAATGTTGGTAGTGGTTGTTAGGAATATATGCAACGAATGCAACAAGTTGCAATGCATGCAACACATCATATAAGGGCAAGGATTTTTACATTTTCAATACACACAGCATCCCTACAAGCGACACTAGAAGAATCGTGATGAATACAAGTGTCCGTAAACAGTATTAGAAGACTTACATTCCTGACAACTTACTTTTAAATAACAAAGTCCCCTGCAAACATAGAAATGCAACATGTAATAAATGCTAGGATGTTCATGCAGTGAGCCCTTCAGTATCCTACAAGCAGTAGTAGAAAATCTACAATACATACAATCTCTCTACAAATACATGTGTATGTACAACATGTCACCTATTGGTAGATGCAGAAATACTTCAGTAAATATAATATCTTGTAGTTAATTTCAGTTTGCAAATGAATACATCTACCTGCAGCAATAATGGATGTATTGTAAGGAACAAAACCACAGCGAAATGCATGAAGAATGCAGCGAAGGCAAGTTCCTATGAGCTTCTGCAGTAGTAGGAGATTCGTTAGTGCACTATAATTTATTTGTAAAAACCAATGAGTAGTGCATGACAGTTTACCTGTGTGACGGAGATAGATGACCATAGTATGACGCCACGCCACCGGATTTTCAACCTTCGTACAAGCAGACAAAAGACGTCAACAAAGCCTGAAATAAAGCCATGCGCATTCAGTAATAATAGTCACATATGCAGTCGAACACATTCGTATTAGATGCAAATATCTCAAAATATCTCCGCACATGCACCTTAATTTGTATACACATAGGTACACAAAAGGGGCAAATGTAATCAAAGACCCGCATGGGCCCCGACGAGCATGTTGTAGGAACACACGTAACGTCTAAGAATGTTGCGCGGGTCAATAAATTTGAATTTGATCCTCTTAGGAAGTTAAATAGGAGTTAATAAGGTTTAACAAATAATTATAAAATGTACCTATACACCCGTATGGGCAGCGACGAGCTTATTTTAGGAACCCATGTGACGTCTAAGGATGCTGCGCGGGTCAATAAATTTGAACTCAATCCTCCTAAAAGCTAAATAGGAGTTGACAAGGTTAAAAAAAAATTATAAAATGTCCCAATACACTCGCATGGGCTTCGGTGAGCGTGTTATGGGTATACACGTGATATTTAGGATTGCTGCGCGGGTCAATAAATGAACGTAGTTTGAGCTCGATCCTCCTATATGAATAAATTAGAGTCGACACTGTTCGAATTATCAAACAGATATACGATCATGGTGTCGATCAGAATATTTATTTTATACATTCATATAAGACCTTCAAGGCCTCCAACAAAGAAATTCATTAACAAAGGCATAAAGCCTATGAAACTCGATCCTCTATCGACAACTTGACAGAGTTGACAAGGTTCAATTTTTAAATAGAAATGACCCCACACCTCGATGATGGCCGTATTGAATACAAATCTTAACTGGAGGGGTTCATTACAAACATTTCAAATGCCATCCCAAATACCCGAAGATCCAGAAATCTTGAGCTCATCAAATTTCAAATATTTAAAATTGAAATTAAATCATCAAATAACTTAAAGCAAAATTCATCCAACATTCGCGACAGTTTGCTGGGGTGGACAAATTAAAAATTACTTCAGCTCACATAGAGCTATTGCCTTGTCAAAAATATTATTAGGATCAATTCTTAAACAATCTCTTGCCAGTAATGACGTGACATGTGTCTTCTAACCGGCAGTTTTGCCGCCAAATGGCACCGTAGGATAAACGGTTATGACCTAGGGTCCTCTGAACCGAGTGGTTTTACTGCCAAATGGCACCACGAGATAACGGTTATGGCCAGAGCCAATGCGTTCCTTAGTGGCATCAAATCCTTGAGATATGAATCAATAGGATATGATCAATACGACACAAAGCTCTTTGTTAGCTAAGGTGGATTCAAATTTGTCCCCTTAGACAAACGTTCACCCCAGGTCTACAAAGTCCCCTTGAACGATGCAACCCATGGCTGCCGACAAGGATCCTTCTATCAGGTGGGCTTAACTACCTCCTCTGACTAAGTAGACCATGGACCACGATAATCTGGGACGATGGAACCATAAGATCTTGATCGGGTCCATCATCACTTCCCCCACCATCCGCTTTAAGTGTAAGATGGTGAAATTTTTAATTTTAAATATCAAACTTTCCATTCCAAGCCCATGCTGCTACTATATGCCAGATAACACGTATTTCTATGTATCTGATTGATGACTAGCCTTAATTGAAAGTTCTCTCTCATTATCGGGAGGGGTAATTAACTATAGGTGCTTGCGCCTATAGGAAACCAGAACTCAGTTCATAAAGTCCTTGCA